AGTCCAGGAGAGCTGTCTGTATTTCAAGGAATCCCTGCTGAGGTTACAGGGACAAACCATCCCGATATGTTGAAAGAATGGTAAATATGGCAGGCGACCAGCTTGGCTTAACAGTGAAATCCTAGCGGATCTTAACCATAAAAAAGAAGCTTACAAGAAGTGGAAGGTTGGACATATGACCAGGAAGAGTATAAAAATATTGCTCGGGCATGTAGGAATGAAATCAGGAGGGCCAAATCACACCTGGAGCTGCAGCTAGCGAAAGATGTCAAGAGTAACAAGAAGGGTTTCTTCAGGTATGTTGGCAACAAGAAGAAAGCCAAGTGTGGGCCCCTTCATGAATGAGGGAGGCAACCTAGTGACAGAGGATGTGGAAAAAGCTAATGTACTCAATGCTTTTTTTGCCTCTGTCTTCACTAACAAGGTCAGCTCCCAGACTGCTGCGCTGGGCATCACAACACAGGGAATAGAGGGCCAGCCCTTTGTGGAGAAAGAGGTGGTTAGGGACTATTTAGAAAAGCTGGACATGCACAAGTCCATGGTGCCGGACGAGTTGCATCCGAGAGTGCTAAAGGAATTGGCGGCTGTGATTGCAGAGCCATTGGCCATTATCTTTGAAAACTCGTGGCGAACGGGGGAAGTCCCGGATGACTGGAAAAAGGCTAATGTAGTGCCAATCTTTAAAAAAGGGAAGAAGGAGGATCCTGGGAACTACAGGCCAGTCAGCCTCACCTCAGTCCCCGGAAAAATCATGGAGCAGGTCCTCAAAGAATCAATCCTGAAGCACTTACATGAGAGGAAAGTGATCAGGAACAGTCAGCATGGATTCACCAAGGGAAGGTCATGCCTGACTAATCTAATCGCCTTCTATGATGAGATTACTGGTTCTGTGGATGAAGGGAAAGCAGTGGATGTATTGTTTCTTGACTTTAGCAAAGCTTTTGACACGGTCTCCCACAGTATTCTTGTCAGCAAGTTAAAGAAGTATGGGCTGGATGAATGCACTATAAGGTGGGTAGAAAGTTGGCTAGATTGTCGGGCTCAATGGGTAGTGATCAATGGCTCCATGTCTAATTGGCAGCTGGTGTCAAGTGGAGTGCCCCAGGGGTCGGTCCTGGGGCCGGTTTTGTTCAATATCTTCATAAGTGATCTGGAGGATGGTGTGGATTGCACTCTCAGCAAATTTGCGGATGATACTAAACTGGGAGGAGTGGTAGATACGCTGGAGGGCAGGGATAGGATACAGAGGGACCTAGACAAATTGGAGGATTGGGCCAAAAGAAATCTGATGAGGTTCAATAAGGATAAGTGCACTTAGGACGGAAGAACCCAATGCACAGATACAGACTAGGGACCGAACGGCTAGGCAGCAGTTCTACGGAAAAGGACCTAGGGGTGACAGTGGACGAGAAGCTGGATATGAGTCAGCAGTGTGCCCTTGTTGCCAGGAAGGCCAATGGCATTTTGGGATGTATAAGTAGGGGCATAGCGAGCAGATCGAGGGACGTGATCGTCCCCCTCTATTCGACATTGGTGAGGCCTCATCTGGAGTACTGTGTCCAGTTTTGGGCCCCACACTACAAGAAGGATGTGGATAAATTGGAGAGAGTCCAGCACAGGGCAACAAAAATTATTAGGGGTCTGGAACACATGACTTATGAGGAGAGGCTGAGGGAACTGGGATTGTTTAGTCTGCGGAAGAGAAGAATGAAGTTGGATTTGATAGCTGCTTTCAACTACCTGAGAGGTGGTTCCAGAGAAGATGGTTCTAGACTATTCTCAGTGGTAGAAGAGGACAGGACAAGGAGTAATGGTCTCAAGTTGCAGTGGGGGAGGTTTAGGTTGGATATTAGGAAAAACTTTTTCACTAAGAGGGTGGTGAAACACTGGAATGCGTTACCTAGGGAGGTGGTAGAATCTCCTTCCTTAGAAGTTTTTAAGGTCAGGCTTGACAAAGCCCTGGCTGGGATGATTTAAATGGGGATTGGTCCTGCTTTGAGCAGGGGGTTGGACTAGATGACCTCCTGAGGTTCCTTCCAACCCTGATATTCTATGATTCTATAATTCTATGAAATTGAGCTCTATGTTTTTCATTTACTCATAACGAAAAATTTTGGGGCCAATTTTTTTTCCCATACTTTGTCCAAGTATAGATTTTTTTCTGACAAGTTAAGCGAGAGTGGAGAAAAACAGATGAAGAAATGAAAAACAAAACAAAATACAATAAAGCCCAGACCACATAAACAAACCCTACCCTTCCAGTCAGGTGTTTCAGCAACTGCACAGATGCTCAAAATTCTCTATGCAGTTGTTGTGGAGTTTTAAGAGACTGGGTCTGTATTACCTTATCCAAATAAGTTCTGCAATGTCAGAATGTTGACCAGGCCCCAAATCATGCTAAAACAATTAAAATATGTTGAAATACCACAAACGGAAGACAAGTGAGCCCAGGACAATACTTTCTATTAGGGCTGTCGATTAATCGCAGTTAACTCAAAAAAAAAATCAGTTTTAATTGTGCTGTTAAACAATAGAATACCAATTGAAATTTATTAAATATTTTGGATGTTTTTCTACATTTTCATATATATTGTATTCTGTGTGGTAATTGAAATTAAAGTGTATATTATTTTTTATTACAAATATTTGCACTGTAAAACTGATATAGTATTTTTCAATTCACCTCATACAAGTACTGTAGCGCAATCTTTGTTGTGAAAGTGCAACTTACAATAGATTTTTTTGTTACATAACTGCAGTCAAAAACAAAACAATGTAAAACTTTAGAGCCTACAAGACCACTTAGTCCTACTTCTTGTTCATCCAATCATGAAGACAAACAAGTTTGTTCATATTTACAGGAGATAATGCTGCCCTCTTCTCATTTGCAACTGTGATGGGTTGGATCACAGAAACCCCCTTGGGACTGCCAACTGATGTGCCAAGACTCCTTTGGTCTCTGCTTTCCCTGCCAGTTTGGGACTCCAGCATCCTGTCTTGTGGAGCCAGACACGCTAGTCTGCTCCAACACAGACTCAGGGTCTGAACCACGTGCCCCAAAGCTGCAGACTAACTGAAAGCAACTTAAGAAGTGTTCCTGTCCTTGACACTCAGATGCTCAACTCCCAATGGGGTCCAAACCCCAAATAAATCTGTTTTTCCCTCTATAAAGCTTATACAGGGTAAACTCAAGTTGTTCGCCCTCTATAACACTGATAGAGACACATGCACAACTGTTTGCTGCCGCCCCCCCCCCCACTTATATATCTTTTGCATAAGGTGGGACTCCTTTGTCCCTCTGGGTTCTCACCCCTCCTTCTCAATGGAAGAGCACCAGGTTAAAGATGGATTCCAGTTCAGGTGACATGATCACATGTCATTGTAAGACTTAGCCCACAGGTATACAGGAAGACTTACAAGTAAAACAGAAAAGGAGTACTTGTGGCACCTTAGAGACTAACCAATTTGAGCATGAGCTTTCGTGAGCTACAGCTCACTTCATCAGCCATCTACAGTCAATTGTCTTGGTTAATGGGAGCCATTAAGATTCCAAACCAACATTAATGGCCCACACTTTGTATAACTACAATAGGACCTCAGAGTTATATTTCATATTTCTAGTTTCAGACCAAGAGCGATACATTTATACAAATAGGATGACCACACACCATAGATTATACGCTTTGTAATGATACCTTACAAGAAACCTTTTGCATGAAGCATATTCCAGTTACATTATACTCACACTCATTATATGATTTTATAAAAATATGCTAGAGTGCAGCATCACAACAATGTCACCAGAAAGTGAGAACAGGCATTTGCATGGCACTTTTGTAGCTGGCATTGCAAAGTATTTACGTGCCAGATATGCTAAACAATTGTATGGTCCTTCATGCTTCGGCCACCATTCCAGAGGACATGCTTATGACACTACTTAAAAAGATAAATTGTTAATTAGATTTGTGACTGAACTCCTTGGGGGGAGAACTGTATGTCTCCTGCTCTGTGTTACCCACATTCTGCCATATATTGAAATATATTTCATGTTACAGCAGTCTTGGACAATGACCCAGCACATGTTCATTTTAAGAACACTTTCACTGAAGATTTCACAAAACACGAAGAAGGTACGAATGTGAGATTTCTAACCAACCCAAGATTTAAGAATCTGAAGTGCCTTTCAAAATCTGAGAGGGATGAGGTGTGGCAGATGCTTTCAGAAATCTTAAAAGAGCAACACTCCGATGCAGAAATTACAGAACCCAAACCATCTAAAAAGAAAATCAACCTTCTGCTGGTGAGATCTGACTCATATGATGAAAATGAACATGCGTCGGTCTGCACTGCTTTGGATTGTTAATCAGCAGAACCAGTCATCGGCATGGACACATCCCTTGGAATGGTGGTTGAATCATGAAGGGACATATGAATCTTTAGTGCATCTGGCACGTAAATATCTTGCAATGCTGGCTACAACAGTACCATGCAATCACCTGTTCTCACTTTCAGGTGACATTGTAAACAAGAAGTGGGCAGCATTATCTCCTGCAAATGTAAACAAACTTGTTTGTCTTAGCAATTGGCTGACTAAGAAGTGGGATTGAGTGGACTTGCACGCTCTAGAATTTTAGATTGCGTTCAAAAATAAAAGTTTTTTGTACATAATTCTACATTTGTAAGTTCAACTTTCATGATAAAGAGATTGCACTACAGTACTTGTATTAGGTGAATTGAAAAATACTATTTCTTTTCTTTTTTGGACAGTGCAAATACCTGTACTCAAAAATATAGAGTACTGTACATTTTTTATTCTGTGCTGTAACTGAAATCAATATATTTGAAAATGTAGAAAACATCCAAAAATATTTAAATAAATTATATTATTGTTTAATCGCACAATTAATTTTTTAATCACTTGACAGCCCTACTTTCTATAGGTCAGTAAATGGAATTTCAGCCACATTAAAGTTGTAAAAAGTAAATTTTGTTTGGCCTACCTGTAGCAAGCAAGCCTCGCAGGAAAATCATATGGAAATTCAGAGTGGTTGGAATAACCAATCCAATTGCAAAACAAATATTTGCCACATGAAAAACCAGATGATGAACCTCACTCCAGTTTTCACATGCAGTCTCATTGACAGGTACAAGGGTGGAATTTTTAAAATATGGTATAAAACCTAATGGGGTCATGGTGAATGAATTGATTTCTGTAGTATTCATCTTGAAGAATCCTGTAAAAATACAAAAGAGGCATTAAGAGTAATGAGCACGAATACAACGGAAAAACAATGACGTGTGTCATGGGACTTAGGGGTATATTCTCTCCTTCAAGTGCAGACATATTTCTCCTTAATATGAACAAAAATTCTACACATACTTCAAAAGTTAAACTAAGTCCCTACATACGGTTGCCAACTTTCTAATGGCACAAAACCAAACACCCTTGCCCCACCCCTTCTCATAGGCCCTGCCCCTTCCACGAGGCCCCACCCCCACTCACTCCATCCCCCCTCCCTCTGTTGCTCGCTTTCCCCCCACCCTCACACACTCACTCATGTTCACCAGGCTTGGGCAGGGGATTGGGGTGCAGGAGGGCTGTGAGGGCTCCAGTTGGGGTTATGGGCTCTGGGGTGGGGCCAGAAATGAGGGGTTCAGGGTGCAGGAGGGGGCTCTGGGCTGTGGGTTGGGTTGTGGGAGGAGGTGAGGGGTGCATGCTCTGGGCGGCGCTTATCTTGGGCGGCTCCCAGAAGCAACCGGCATGTCCGGTTCCTAGGTTCAGGGGTGGCCAGGCAGCTCTACGCCCTGTCTCCGCACACAGGTGCTGCCGAGGAGGGGGCAGCACGAAGAGTGTGCATCTGCCTAGGAGCCCAGGGACATGTTGCCACTTCCGGGGAGCATGCAGAGCCAGGTAGGGAGCCTGCCAGCCCCGCCAACTGCACTTTTAATGGCCCGGTCAGTGGTACTGACTGGATCCGCCAGAGTCCCTTTTCCACCGGGCCTTAGAGCCGAAATCGGACATCTGGCAACCTTATCCCTACACATGAAAAACATTTTACAGTCACATTTAGGTGAAAACTAAGGGCTTGAAGAAGGGATAAAGGTCAATATTCTGACAACCTGCACACACGATGTATTATCAGATACATGCCCAGTGACTTTCGTAAGATGTGAGAGTACAGGGGTCCACCCATGCTAAGCAGCTTGCAGGACTGGCACCATAATGGTAACTTCTGCTGCTTGTTAAATGGTCCTTTGGACCATCCAGGCATACTGCTTCCAGTCCCTCATAGTCAGAAGACACATGTGAATACCAAGAGCAGTATATAGCTGTGGTACCTGTAGAATAGCAAAGCTAAATACAAATTCAGAGGAACCTGTTATCATAATTTGTTGTTAAAGAAAGCTTGCCAAAAAAGCCAAAGAAAATTTATGTCTTTTAATTCTTCTTTATAACGTATAAAGCTGTCCTGAAAGTATTTTCTCTTTCTTTCAAAGGAGGGAGGAGAACTGATATTTGTAAGGTTAAAAAAACAAAACAAAACAAAAAATCCACCAAGTCTGATCTTCTCCAGTTTTGCTGTAGGACTCCCTGGAGATCAAAAATGTATGCCCAAAGCTCTCTCATTCCATACATGAGTGTTAGGGTGAGAATTAATAAAAACTATTTCCCTTCTCAGTTGATCAGGTTTCACTTGCTCGGTGTCTCTGATAACAAATGCTCTAGCTCTCCAGTCATCCATTGACTCTTTCAGGAAAATTGGGCAGAAGAGAACTGACTTTCTAACGTAAAACAGACTCAGGTTCCAAGAACAGAACAGACCCACTGTAGTCCTGTAATCTTACCTCCTGTGTAAAACAAGCCGTGGAACTTCTCAGCACAAATTATTAGAACATATATTTTAGAAAAACAACCAATCTTGATTTAAAAATTGCCAGTGATGGAGAATCCACCAGGAACCTTGGTAAATTGTTCCCTTAGCTAAAAATCTTCACTGTTTTCTTTAATCTTGTAGGCCTTTTTCATACAACAAAAAGAACCAATAAAGTTTTTTTCCCTTAGCCAATATCATTCCAAAACACAGTTAAATAACTCTGATTAAATAGGTAACTAAAAAGGAAGTTGGGAGATATTACCTTTTTTTAAGCCTATTGCAGACAGCCTTTCCTCATCAAGATTGACAGCAACTTGATATACCTAATACACAAAGGTTAATTTTTCAATTGAAGAAACAATGATTCATTTCATATTAAAAGAAAGTAAAGTAAATCTTGTTTTCAGCTAAGTATTTAGGACACCTACTGGTTGCAATATAAAAGGTTATATGGAATTCTGTTTGATTCCCATTAATGAACTACGTTTGCATCAGCGAGAAAACACTCTTTTCCTGTAACACATTATGGAGTATGCATTGTAACAAATCCTGTACAGACATTCCCTTGATCTTTCATGCACCTTTCTGTGACATTATACTCCATATTCTTTATGAAAATATGCTTGTGATAGGAATATGACATAACTAAGTTGTACTTTAAGCAAGATGAGCCTTGTAAGGTATCGTTGGAAAGGTTATGGTTTACTGAATAGGATTATCCTATTTGTATGCATGTATCATTTCTGTATCTGAAATTAGGAATATTGTCTATGTATCTATATTTCAACTATGTTATTTTGGGCAACACCCCCTGCTAACAACTTCAGATACAACAGTGAAAAAGCCTGAGTGCTGAGGCCCATCACCAAGAGCCAATGGACTATAAAAGAGCTTTGTCTTCCTGTGAACATGTGGGTCAGTCTGTGAAGAATGGCTACAGGCACCCTACAGAGGCATGTGACCATGTCACTGGATACTGTAACCCATCTTGAATTTCTGTATTTTTCCATGAGAAGCTGGAGGGGTGGGGTGGGGGTCAAACTAGGAAACAAATGACTCCTGCCTTATGCAAATCCTATTTAAGGGTGGAGAGTGAGGTAATCCCGGTAGTCAGTTCTCCCCCGCTATCCCACCCAAGAGGACTGCTGGAAGCAACAAAGACTGAACTGGGGGAAAGAACTGTCCCCAGGCTGGAAGGGCACCTGGCCTGTGAAGAAGATTATTAGAATCACATTTAGGGTGAGAACTTACATGTAACCAGTTTCTTTACTAACACTAGCTTAGTTTGCATGCTCTATTTTCTTATTAATCTGCCTTGTTCTGTCTGTTATCTCCTTAACTACTTAAAATACACCTGTTACAGTTAATACATTTATTTCTGGTTTAGAATATAACCCAGTTCATGTGATTTCTATGGCAAGAAGTTGTGCACACCATCTTCCACATTGAGGGAAGAGGCAAATTTCATATAATTTGGGGTTTGTACTCCAAGGGGGGGGGTGGACATCTGGGTGCTGTGTCAAGCCCCTTAAGCTGAGCCTTCTCAGAGCGGCTCTCTGTGCGGCTGGGTGTGGCCCTGTCTGTGTGCTTGGCTGGAAAAGGCTGAGGAGCCTAGCCCAGCAAGACCAGGTAAAAGGGGGCCCAGGCTGGCAGAACAGTCTGCCTTTGTGGTGTCCCATCACACCAGGTGACATCACGAAGGGGGGGGGGGGGGTTCAACCTGTCACACCACCAAACCACACTCATACATTCCTTACATCCCAGGTCTAGCCAGGTGCACATGTGGTGAGTGGGACCCCTTCACAGGTGCCTAAATATGGATTTAGGAACCTAACTTCTGGCTTCGTTTTCCTTTTAAAATCTTGCTGTCTAATCCTCTAAAGTTCAAGTTGACTTATTACTGACAAACAGATATAGGAGTGCTACTGACAGATAGCAGAAGGCTGTTTCTGATAAACAGACTTCTAAGTGCCTGCAGAAATAGATTTACTCTATCTACAAAGTGACAGATTGTGCCACTGGGTCTTAAACAAGGCTGCCCACTAATTTCAGATGGAGATACTACTTAAACTAGAGGATGTCTCTGAAGTGCCACAAGTCCTCCTTTTCTTTTTACTTAAACTAGGTATGCAATCTGGGTATTTATCCATAGATAGTTACAGGAAATAAATTGTTAGACATAATTCTGAAACTTATATCTTTTCCTCTGGTCCTAGCTCAGATCTTTCAGTCCTAACCTGTTTATAACCACAAACATGAAAAATTCTATTCAAAGGATACATATCTAGTTTTCACTTTCGGACTTTTGGTATTTCAAAATACCAAAAGTTCATAGTAAGTGGGAAGCTAAGGAGTAGAAGCTCAAGCTTCTAGTGCTTTCAATTCAGCTTACTTATAAGCAGGGATCCTAGAAATCCATTTGCCATGGAAAAAACGCTTGAATTTGCCCCCCCTCCCCATTTTTATTTATTTTTTTTGTTAAAAACAGAGATGGGACTCGGGCTGTCAGCCCAGGGAGGTAGGGCTCCAGCTGTCAGATTTCATTTTAAATTGCAGAAAAATGTGGATTTATGTTTATAAGAGAATTTTGTTTTTTTCAATCACGGAAAACTAGGATTCCCGCTTATAAGAAAGATTACTACAATAGTGTAATTTGAACTATAACATAGTGTGTTAACAAACTGTAATAAAGATATATTCTTTACAAAAACGCCTCTAAAACTGATGTTTAAATAGAAGTCATAAAATTTCATCTTCAGAAACTATTGTGTATTTAGAAAAAATGGATGGAACGTTGTCAACTTAAATCTGACACAACATTTAAATGTTGTAAAATGATGCTTTTTAAAAAACTTAATAAAATGTTTGATACATTTTTAAAATTCAAAATTAAAACAATTGCTTTTAAACACACACTCTCTCCCAGTTTACGGCACTCAGAATCTGAGACTGAAAACTCAATTTGTTTATAATTAAACCAATTTCATTGTTTTTCCACTATCGGAGCTAAGAGAAAAGCAAGTAGTAAATAAACAAACAGTGAAAATAAATTGGATGTTTATGCTTAAATTGACAATGTCTCACTAAATCTACTACAAGATGCTATAATCAACAAGAAAACCTGTTTAAGTGTTGTCTGGAAAGTGGTCAGAATATTAATACCAATATTAAACCGACAAGAGTGAAGATACTTTGAATTAAATGTGTGTTAAAAGGGATGGATTTGTAAAGATATTTAGGCAGCTAGAGATGCAGATAATGAGATTTTCAGAAATGCCCAGGGGCTAGATCCACAAGGGGGATTTAGGCATTGCAATGCAGGGTATATGACTTTTAGGCGCCCTGCCACTTAGTGGACTTTCTAGCTGTGCGTTAGGTGCCTAGGCTCCCTATGCAACGTCTGGGGAAAGTTAGGTGCCTAAGAACAGGATCCACAAAAGCCAGCACTTTAGCTTAGCTGCTTTAAACTACTTGTTGGAAATGCCACGAGGGGTATGGCCTCCCCCTGTTCCTCTAATGGACATAGGTGCCTAAATCTAGGCTGGATGGAGGCACCCCCTTCTGCTCAGGATTCACACCCATGAACTGTCCCCTGGAGCGAGATGCCTAAGCTCCTTCTCGGCAGAAGATGTGCTCTGCCGCCGCCGCCACCCTTATATGCAATAACTCAGGAGTTCGTGCATTTACCCAGGCTATGGGAGACCCAGGTCCAAATCCCACCTCTGCCTTATTTGAAGCAGGGATTTAAACCCAGGTCTCCCGCTCCCCAGGTGAGTGCCCTGCCCTACCACTGGGCTACTGGATATAAGGGTGGCAGTTTTGTGCAAGACCTGATCCAATAGCACGCTTACCAGACAGGCTGGGAACGCCAAGTCTGAGGATTCTGTTGGGGTTTAGGGTACAAATCAGGCTCTGGGCATCAGGGATTAGATGGCTTTGAATATGCCCACTGACAGAAATTTAGGTGGCTAGGGAATGTTATGTACCTAGGGACTTCAGGAGCCTGCCTTCAGGGTTAGACGGCAGCTGAGTGGGGATTTTGTGGATCTAAATTTTGGATTTAGGCACATGAAGTGGAAGTAAGATCCTCAAAGGGCTCTAGGTGGCTAGCCCCTGGCTCCTAACTGCTACTGAAATCAATCTTATCTGAGTCTTTAGGTACCTAAATACCTTTTAAAAATCTGGTCCTGCATTACCAGTTCTGCAACTGTATCCATACAGATGGCTCCCCATGGATCTAATTGCAGGATTGGGCCTCAGGATTTTTTTTTTTTTTTAAATCTAGCTCTAAAACTTTTCTTCAATCTACTTTCCTATGGTTCTGCAGCAAAAAGAGCTCGCAATAGAGCCTTGCCTGTAACTATTAATTTTGAGAGCTGAAAACAGACCGCTAGTGCTATTCTAATTAGGCGTGTTGTAGTTTAGTTTAATTTTCTTTTACTCCTGAAATAGGATTGAAGGGAGAAACAGAGGAATGTGAAGAAAACATGTATTTGGACATGCTATGCAAGTGAAGCCCTGCACCCCTTTAGATTAAAATGTCTCTATACTGAAATATTTGTTAGCCTTGGGCTGTGTAATGTTCTTGATACAAATTAACAGTATGTTCATTCTGTGTATTAAGAAAATGCATCAATGTTAAGTGAAATTCTTCATATTGCTCACACTATCATCAGTCATAATGGCAAAGATGCGTGCTGGGAATGGTGTTAACTGCAGATACAAATTTGTGTTATGGTTACATAACACACAGACACATGGAAAAGATCTGTTAAGGGAAACATCTATAACTGTCACTTTGTAATCCTCAACCTCTCTCAAAATAACAGAAGTTTAATTTTAATTCACAATATGGAAAAACTATAAATACGTGTCTTAAATCAGAGCCAATAAAATTAAGATATTGAACATTTGCATTTATAATAATAAAATAATGTTCTTTCTAAAGCACCCGTCCTATCAAGTCACTCAGGGTGCTGATCAACCATTGGGCACATGCACACTCTCCCTCCCAAAAAACCCTTTAAGATTAGGATTTCCTAAAAGGAAAAAACAGGTAGGGAGAAATGATGCTGTCTTTACCACCTATTCAAACCTATACATTTAGGGGGGAAAGTTTAACATTGTTTAAAAGTGGGAAGGGATGAAGGGACTCATTTCAAGGATGAGTGTGTTCCACAATCTTAGGACCACTACAGCAAGGGCAGGACTGCTTGCCAATCTAAAACACTATGGTGGAATCCCTAAAAGATGAGTGGTGTCCAAACATACTAAATATTATCAGATAACGTTTAGCATACGAAGTTTTAAGGCAAAGCATATTTTACAAGAGTGGCAACCCCCTAAAACACGGAAATACTGATGCGACCTTAAAAAATGTGCTAGTACTACAATACTACACAAATGCCTTGAATACGTCTATTTGAACCAATCCTACACCAAAGGAATTTAAACAAGCTTCTATTGGGAAAAGAAAACGTGTTCTGAAGAAGCTCAAGTCACTCAACTATCATCAAATATTGACTAAATCCTGCAACCTCATGTGCGGTGTATACTCACTGTAAGTGAGGTTCCATTTGAATACTGCTGTCTTGCTTGCCTCTCTTGGCTTTCAATACAATTTGTTTTAAAGCCATTTCAGTAAGAGCTGACCTACCAGGGGGCGGGAGGCTCACGGGGGTTATCGGGCGGAGGCCGCCAGGGGCCCGCGGCCGCCAGTGTCCGGGCAGGGGCCGCAGGGCCGGGCGGGGGCTGCACCCGGCGGGGGCTGGCCCGGGAGCGTCTCCCCGGGGAAGCTTCGCCCGGTCCCTCCGGGCAAGCGGCGCCTCCAGCTCCGATTTCAGCCGCTGCCCGGAGACCCCCAAAGAGCAGCTGCCCCCGCAAGGGGTGCGTCTGCCCCGCTCCCTTACCTCGCCCTGCGCAGGCTCCCCGGGGCGCTGTCGCTGGGACTCGGCGGCTGCTCCCCGCACCAGCTGCCACCCGCGGCCGCTTGGACTAAAATAGGCAGGAAGCCGCCAGGGGCAGGCAGCGAGCGGCCGCAGCGCGCAGGCGCTTCCCACGGACACCAGCCGCTGCCCGGCGGCCGAGACACTGAACAGCTGCCGCAGCCGGGAGCGGGGTAAGACGGGCCGAGGGCGGCGGGCAGAGGGGGCCCGCCAGGGGGCGGTGCCGCGGGGCTGCGAAGGGGCAGAGAACGGTCTCGGCTCAGCCCCCGGCCAAGGCAGGGCAAGTACCCGCGCTGCCTGCCCTGGGAGTGAGGGGGCCTGCTGTGCTGCGCCTCCCCCCTGCTGAGTCTCCCCAAGGGGCCCCAGATACTGACTCCATACCCCAAGGCTCACGGCCCCCTGGGATTAGGGCAACAACGCTTCTAGCTCCATACCGAACGCACCCCCACGGCAGCACCTGCTGGCTCGAGGGGGCTGGCTCACTACAAAAGCAATTTTCCCTCTCTTGGTATTGACACCTCATCAGTTATTGGGAGTGGACCACCTCCAGCCTGAGTGAATTGGCCTGGTCACCGCTGGTTCTCCACTTGTGAGGTAACTCCCTTCTCTTCACGTGTCAGTATAATAGTGCCTGCATCTGTAATTTTCACTCCATGCATCTGGAGAAGTGGGGTTTTCACGCAGGAAAGCACATGCCCAAATAAATCTGTTAGTCTTTAAGGTGCCACCGAATTCCTCATTGTATACAATAAAAACAGAGTTTACAGTTTGGTTTAATGGCTTTCAGCACCACCACTGTATAAATTCTTCGAACCACTGCCCCGAGACCTCCCCTGCCCCCCCCCACCCAGCTGTGTAGAATTGGGCTTGGCTGGATTCCATAATCCTTTTTTATGACTTCCATGGAATAACATCCATATTCATTTTCAAACAGTTTTTTGCCTAATATTTATTGATTTTAAATGTTTACAGTTGTGAGAGCTTGGGGGGGGGTCAAACAATGCGAGGGGGGATCAACTAGTAATTGTTTAATAATAGGAGATGGTTGAGAGGCAAAAAGCCAAAGCTTTATAAAGCATCAAAACACCAAAAGGTCAACATCACATGTCAAAATACACAAAGTAAATAGTAAATCAAATTCTAAATAAGTTCTCAAGCTGCATTTTTCTCATTTTGCCTCAATTCACTCAGGCTATCTTGTAAATTGCAAGTATTATCCACAGAAAAAAAATGTTTGTGGGTGTGCAGTGAAATTAGAGAGACAAAGTGGGCGAGGTCATATCTTTTATTGGATCAACTTCTCTTCGGGAGAAAGCTTGCCTCTCTCCTCAAGAGAAGTTGGTCCAGTAAAAGACATGACCTCACCCCTCCTGTCTCTCTAATATCCTGGGACCAACTGGGCAAAACAACACTGCATACAGTAAAATTGACATTTATCAACATTTGTCAATAAAAGTCTATCCTTCCAAATCTATATATCTAACAATCTCTTTTAGCTATACTGTATAGACAACAGTCTCCTCAGCGAACTAGAGAGCATTCTCTAAAACTGGCCTTGTCTAGTCTAGAAGAGTGCACCAGTTTAATTACATGAATTTAAAACCAAACTAGTTAAACCAAGGTGAAGCCTTAATATAGGCGCATTTAAATTGGTTTAACCCTTGTTTATGTTTATTAAAAAAAATATTGCAAGTGCAAGCTAAATTGCTATAGGCAAAGGACTAAAGCAGTGTAAGTGTGCCAATCTCATGGGGTTGTGCCAGTTTAGCCAGATTAATTTAGTTGAATTGGTGCACTTTTAGGCCCATCTGTACTGAAGAGTCTGTACAGCTGCCTAGTGTTATCTCTCTCACATATCTCTTTAGCTATAAAAGTCTGTGTAGCTCTCTAGCAAATAGTTTCTTCAATTCTCTAGCTCAGGGGTGGACAAACTACGGCCTGTGGGCTGGATACAGCCCGTGAGGCCGCTCCCGGAAGCGGCTGGCTCCATGTCCCTGTGGCCCCTGGGGGAGGGGAGGGGTAAAGGGCTTCATGCACTACCCTCACCTGCAGGCACTGCCCCCCACAGCTCCCATTGGCCGGGAACGGGGAACCGAGGCCAATGGGAGCTTTGGGGGAGGTACCCACAGGCAAGGGCAGTGCGCGGAGCCCTCTGCCCCCGCCCTCCTCTAGGGGCCGCAGGGACATGGTGCCAGCCACTTCCAGGAGCAGCGCAGGGCCAGGGCAGACAGGGAGCCTATCTTAGCCCTTCTGTGCGCCACTGCCACCCCAGAACCGCTCCAGGTAAGCAGCACTGGGCTGGAGTCCACACCCTGACCCCCTCCTGCACCCCACACCCCAAACCCCTGCACCTCAACTTCCTGCCCTGAGTCCCCTCCTGCACCCCAACCCCCTGCCCTGAGCCCCCTCATGCACCCTCCCCCTCACTGCACATTTCCTCCCGCACCCCAAACCCCTACCCCAGTCCTACATTCATGGCCCTGCATGCGATTTCCCCACCCAGATGTGGCCCTTGGTTTGCCCACCCCTGCTCTAACTGATAGACCATTAGTTGTAGAGACTATGGCAGAAAATGTGGCCTCATTAGTTAAAACAAAATGATTTGGCTCTGTTCTTACCTTTACTGACCTGCTGTGTGACCTTTGGCAAAGTCACATAAAGTCTTTGTTTCCTCATACGTATAGGAATAATAGTATGTGTGTATATTAACAGTAGTTCCTAGAAGTCCCAACTGAGATCTGTGTCCCATTGTTCTAGGCACTGTGCAAACAGACACTGCTCCAAACAACAAAAAAACCACACACTTATGTAACTTTAGCACCCTCGTGGCCAAGATGGAGTCTGCTCTGCAGGCACCTCTGGCCAAGAGAAGGCGCACTCAGGAATGCAGCAGGGAAAGTCCTTTCCATCCTAGGGACACTTGTTCCCCTCCAGAGCGCACATGCATGCACAAAAAGTACAATGAATATAGGAAAGGAAAATATTAACAGAGGGATGAAAGGAGAAAAACAGGGGGAAACATAAGGGAGCAATAAAACAGGGTTGCATTCAATTCAAGGCCCCACAGGCCCAGTGGTAGCACAGTCTGAAAGAGCAGACATGGCGCAATGTGTCTGCACACAGTTCAGGAGTCCTGGATAAAGTTCCAGCCACTGGTGAGTCTTAGATGCTCCAGGTCATCTTGAGTGCCAAACTTTCCCCAACAAACCCCTCCAGTGCCCTCTTCTGCTGCTCTCTGCAAAGCTACACAGAGCGACCACCTCCCCACTTAACTAGCTAACAGCCTCCCTCCTTATTCCCGATGCAAAGTCACAAGCCCAGTACTCACGGCCCCATACAGCTCTGGGCAGCAGTGATACTGGGTCCAGCTCCGGTTTGTCCTGCTCCTGTCCTGGGGTGTCCCCGATCAGCTGCTCTGTCCCTCCCAGGCTTCAGGCAGGTTCTTGGCGCCAGGCTCTGTAAACCCCGAAGGGCTTACGCTTACAGTTGAAATAGACAAGACAGACAATGAGCGGAGGGTGGAAACAAAGGCAAGAAGAAATGAAGTCTCTTGAAAAGGTCACAGAGCAAGTTAGTGGCAGAGTTGGAGACAGAACCAAGATCTCTTGACTCGCAGACTAGTGCGCCTACTTACAGAGTGTTGAGGAGCATATTCATGTGTATAAAACAAAGTAATTTCCCCTAAATTTATTTAGAACTTAAATTATATTGCTATTCTATAAGAGGCTATAATGGAGCCAATACTGCAGTTATTTTTGGGCAAAATTCCCATTAAAGTGAATGGGCAATTTGCAAGTGAAGTTGCTCTAACACTGGACCCTAAATGTTTTATACAGGCACGCAATAATGTATAACAGCAGCAACATTTGTAAATGTAGCCAGGGTTTTCTCCAGTTTTAAGAAAGAATGGTCAGGACAAGGTAGGAAGGGAGCAGTCATTGCATGGTGTTGTTATGTGTCATATATCCAGGAAACATCTATCTACTATTTGGATTTATCAAAAAAACACCCTGTATGTATTATTTATTATTAGAAGGAAATTTGTCTGGGAAGAGATTGCATGGGGGTGAAAAATAATTCGTCCAACCCCTAAAAGGTTGCAGTACTAGGCTAATTATAAAAGCATGCAGTGAGATACAATTTGATCTTTCCTCAAAAAGTGGAATAGAGAAATTACAATGTATGTGGTTTGGCAACATATCAAAAAGTGGCTACTAGAAGTCTGAAGGAATGGCATCTTCTGTGCACTAGAAAAGGACCACTTGTGTTTCTGTAAGCATGTTCTGAATGGGAGATATAAAACACTGTGTAATAGATTCAGGATCCTGCTGTTTTCCAAATCATTTTCCAAATGATTGATGCAAAGTAAGGGTCAGGGGCTGAATTTTAGTCTCAAAGAAACTTAACAGGTCCACTAGCTGTGATAATAGTATGATAGTACAGTGGTTCTCAACAAGGGGTCTGGGGTCCCTAGGGGACCACAAGCAGGTTTCAGGGGGTCCGCCAAGCAGGGCCAGAATTAGACTTGCTGGGGCCCAGGTCAGAAAGCCAAAGCCTCACTGTCTGGGGCTGAAGGCAGAGGCCAAGCCCGGAGCCCTGAGCCCCACCACCAGGGCTAAAGCTGAAGCCTGAGGAATGTAGCTTTGTGGGGCCCCCTGTGGCATGGGGCCCTAGGCAACTGCTCTGCTTGCTATCCCCTAATGCTGGCCCTGGCTCTTGTATGCAGAAAAGCAGTTGTTGTGGCACTGGTGGGCCGTGGAGTTTTTATTGCATGTTGGGGAGGGGTGGGGGGTTCACAAAGAAAAAGGTTGAGAACCCCTGTGATAGTAGACAGACAGATAGATATGTAATCTGAAGGGCTCAGAGAGTCATGGGGCTATGAGGGCAGGGAAAGGCTGTTTGGTATTAGAGCTTGTCATAAATATAAAGGGAAGGGTAAACCCCTTTAAAATCCCTCCTGGCCAGAGGAAAAATCCTCTCACCTGTAAAGGGTTAAGAAGCTAAAGGTAACCTCGCTGGCACCTGACCAAAATGACCAATGAGGAGACAAGATACTTTCAAAAGCTGGGAGGAGAGAGAGAAACAAAGGGTCTGTGGCTGTCTGTATGCTGCTTTTGCCAGGGACAGAACAGGAATGGAGTCTTGGAACTTTTAGTAAGTAATCTAGCTAGGTATGTGTTAGATTATGATTTCTTTAAATGGCTGAGAAAAGAACTGTGCTGAATAGAATGACTATTCCTTTCTGTGTGTCTTTTTTGTAACTTAAGGTTTTGCCTAGAGGGATTCTCTATGTTTTGAATCTAATTACCCTGTAAGGTATCTACCATCCTGATTTTACAGAGGTGATTTCTTTACTTCTATTTCTATTAAAAAAGTCGTCTTGTAAGAAAACTGAATGCTTTTTCATTGTTCTCAGATCCAAGGGTTTGGGTCTGTGGTCACCTATACAAATTGGTGAGGATTTTTACCAAACCTTTCCCAGGAAGTGGGGTGCAAGGGTTGGAAGGATTTTGGGGGGAAAGACGTGTCCAAACTACGTTTCCCAGTAAACCCAGTTAGAGTTTAGTGGTGGCAGTGGATATTCCAAGGACAAA